TGGTGCTGAGGGCAAATGGTCACAAGAGCCACACTCCTTCCCAGAGCTGCTCAGAACCCAGCAAGGTTGCCCCAGCCCAAACCTCTGACCCAGGGCTTGGCCCTCAGAGCTAACAGGTGGCTTCCATTCCTAGTTTCTTCCTTTTCAGAGGTGTGGGGACCTAGTGAGCACTGAGTTTGAAGTTAGTTGGACCCGGGTTCACATCAGGGCTGGATTCAGAGAAGAGTATGGTGCCTATTCATCCTCAAACAAACATGAATTTAAAATAAACCCTGTTATTTCACAAACTCTCTAGTAGCTCCCCATTCTCCTCAAAGCAAAGTGCTGATGGCCTTACAATGGTTTACAAAGGGCTTCAAAGTCCTGTATGTCTACTTCTCTGGACATGTCTCATTTCTTTTCTGAACTCACTCAGCTCTAGTCATGCTGACCTCTTGCCTTTTCTGCCCCAGGGCCTTTGCACTTGCAGTTCCCTCGGTCTGGAGCCATCTTCCCTCAGATACCCACATGGATCTCTCCTTCACCTCAGTGAGGGTCCCTGATCCAAAGGCACGCTTCAGCCCCAGCTACAGCCCCTGGCATGTCTTTTTTTTTTTTTTCATTTATTTTTATTAGTTGGAGGCTAATTACTTTACATCATTGCAGTGGTTTTTGTCATACATTGAAATGAATTAGCCATGGATTTACATGTATTCCCCATCCCGGTCCCCCCTCCCACCTCCCTCTCCACCCGATCCCTCTGGGTCTTCCCAGTGCACCAGGCCCGAGCACTTGTCTCATGCACCCAACCTGGGCTGGTGATCTGTTTCACCCTAGATAATATACGTGTTTCGATGCTGTTCTCTTGAAACATCCCACCCTCGCCTTCTCCCAGAGTCCACAAGTCTGTTCTATACATCGGAGTCTCTTTTTCTGTTTTGCATATAGGGTTATCGTTACCATCTTTCTAAATTCCATATATATGTGTTAGTATACTGTAATGGTCTTTATCTTTCTGGCTTACTTCACTCTGTATAATGGGCTCCAGTTTCATCCATCTCATTAGAACTGATTCAAATGAATTCTTTTTAATGGATGAGTAATATTCCATGGTGTATATGTACCACAGCTTCCTCATCCATTCGTCTGCTGATGGGCATCTAGGTTGCTTCCATGTCCTGGCTATTATAAACAGTGCTGCGATGAACATTGGGGTGCACGTGTCTCTTTCAGATCTGGTTTCCTCGGTGTGTATGCCCAGAAGTGGGATTGCTGGGTCATATGGCAGTTCTATTTCCAGATTTTTAAGAAATCTCCACACTGTTTTCCATAGTGGCTGTACTAATTTGCATTCCCACCAACAGTGTAAGAGGGTTCCCTTTTCTCCACACCCTCTCCAGCATTTATTGCTTGTAGACTTTTGGATAGCAGCCATCCTGACTGGTGTGTAATGGTACCTCATTGTGGTTTTGATTTGCATTTCTCTGATAATGAGCGATGTTGAGCATCTTTTCATGTGTTTGTTAGCCATCTGTATGTCTTCCTTGGAGAAATGTCTGCTCAGTTCTTTGGCCCATTTTTTGATTGGGTCGTTTATTTTTCTGGAGTTGAGCTGGAGGAGTTGCTTGTATATTTTTGAGATTAATCGTTTGTCTGTTGCTTCGTTTGCTATTATTTTCTCCCAATCTGAGGGCTGTCTTTTCACCTTGCTTATAGTTTCCTTTGTTGTGCAAAAGCTTTTAAGTTTCATTAGGTCCCATTTGTTTATTTTTGCTTTTATTTCTAAAATTCTGGGATGTGGGTCATAGAGGATCCTGCTGTGATTTATGTCGGAGAGTGTTTTGCCTATGTTCTCCTCTAGGAGTTTTATAGTTTCTGGTCTTACATTTAGATCTTTAATCCATTTTGAGTTTATTTTTGTGTATGGTGTTAGAAAGTGTTCTAGTTTCATTCTTTTATAGGTGGTTGACCAGTTTTCCCAGCACCACTTGTTAAAGAGGTTGTCTTTTTTCCATTGTATATCCTTGCCTCCTTTGTCAAAGATAAGGTGACCATAGGTTCGTGGATTTATCTCTGGGCTTTCTATTCTGTTCCATTGATCTATATTTCTGTCTTTGTGCCAGTACCATACTGTCTTGATGACTGTGGCTTTGTAGTATAGTCTGAAGTCAGGCAGATTGATTCCTCCAGTTCCATTCTTCTTTCTCAGGATTACTTTGGCTATTCGCGGTTTTTTGTATTTCCATACAAATTGTGAAATTATTCGTTCTAGTTCTGTGAAAAATACCGTTGGTAGTTTGATAGGGATTGCATTGAATCTGTAGATTGCTTTGGGTAGTATAGCCATTTTGACAATATTGATTCTTCCAATCCATGAACACGGTATATTTCTCCATCTGTTTGTGTCCTCTTTGATTTCTTTCATCAGTGTTTTATAGTTTTCCATGTATAGGTCTTTTGTTTCTTTAGGTAGATATACTCCTAAGTATTTTATTCTTTTTGTTCCCTGGCATGTCTTATGTTGCCTTCTCACTTTATATTCCTGCACGTTAAATCACTTAAGTCATGTCCAACTCTTTGTGACCCTATGGATTGTAGCCCGCCAGGCTCCTCTGTCCATGGGATTCTCCAGGCAAGAATACTAGAGTGGGTTGCCATACCCTCCTTCATGGGATCTTTCTGACTCAGGGATCAAACCCATGTCTCTTATATTTCTTGCACTGGCAGGCAGATTCCTTACCACTAGCACCACCAGGCAAGCCCCGCCTACTAAAATACTCTATGACTTATTAATCTACCTTGTTTATCCAAAAATGTTTATCATCTATCTCTCTCCATTAGAATGTAAGCTCCACAAGGGTGGGGCTTTTTGTTTCTTTGTTCAGTGGTGCCTAACACCAAGTAGGCATCAAAAAAAAAAAAGGTGCAAAAAACTGAGAGAGAATTCAGTATGAGTAAAGAGATTCAGAATTTGGATTTCTTCCGTGAAGTCCCTGAAGCATTCATATCAAATTCTTTGAAACCAGAATCTTCTGAAGAAGTCGGTCTTGGACATTCTTGCTTTGCTCCAGGTCTTCATTTGGGTGAGTTTCCACTCTGACCCGGTGGCTGGCCCCAGCCGTCATCCTCCTGGGAGCCAAGCTGGACCCTGCAAATACAAATGCAAGTCAGAAAGCCATGCCCCGCCCCACCCACCAGCCTGGTGGAGAGGCTGAAGAGACAAGAGGCCATGACATGTGTGTGGCAGGGGAGCACCGGGGCACCCACAGAACGAGAAAGAGCCCCAAACAAAGGAAACAGTTTTGCGGGTAGTAACCTCCTTTGAGTCTGTTTCCTCATGGTGGTGCTGAGTTCTAGATCAAGTGAGATGAAGAACTGGAGGCCCATCCAGTCCTGAGATGTGACATGCAGAGATTTTTGTTTTTCACCATTCAAAAACAGGCAAGACGCCAGGGAAGAGATCAGTAAATCCATTTCACAGGTTTTGCCATGTTTATCCCTTCCTGTGTGAACTTCTTCCTCCCATCCCAAATTTCAGTCTCATCCAGGGGTCCTGAGGCGAGACCCTTTCAGCTTCATCCCGCCTCCTTCCTGACCCCATCTCAGACTAGCCTTTGTCAGTTAGGACGCTGGGACTCAGAGAGGGAGAGTCAGCTGCTCACGGGCACACAGAGAATTAAGGGTCTGGGCAAGGACTGGGAACCAGTCCTTCTGCCTCTCAGCCTGAGGCCCTGACTGCCAAACATGTGTTCTTTGGAGCCCCTGCCTTCAGCCTGGGTTCCTGGAAGATGTCATGACCTCTGACCCTGCTAAGCCTCTATCCACTCCTTCTGCACCCCTGGGGCCACCAAACTCAGGGCGGAGGGCCTGTGGGGGCTGGCTAGAGGCGTGGGAGTCGGGGTAAAGCCAGTTCTCACTGAAGCCTTTGCATGCCTCTGCCAGGGTTCTGCACTGCCTTCCTCTGGAGAGCAGCTCTGGTTGGGGGGAAGGGGGTAGAGGTGGGCATGGCCCTCCCTTTTGGGGTAAACTCTCCCGAGGCTCAAGAATACAAATTTTTAGGCCCAGAGGGGCTGTCATAAAATTCAAAGTCATACCTTCTCCTGATATACTGTAGAGGAGAAACTGAGGCAAGGAGGCCTGCCCAAGGTCCAGGGGGACAGAGACAGGGCCAGGCCTGGAGTCAGAGTTTTGCATCATCATCAAGTCTGATTATATTTGCTCCTTCAGGAATTCTGGTGTATTTCATTTGGGCAGCATCCTGGAGTCCAGATATCTAGCTAGACTTACATACCTCCAATGATGGGGGAGTCACTATCAGTTTGTGTTTTCTCTTGCTCTCTCTCCATTTCTGTTCTGATCTCTGAACCCAGACCTTAGACTTCAGGTTCTCTGCTTCTGACCCTTTCTGCCTTTCCCACGGGTGCTTCTAAGGACCCTCATGTGCTTGCTGTCTGTCTGTGTTTACAGAGGGGACTTCTGTCCTCCTGTCACCCCCTCTCCACTCTAATGAGCATACTCAGGGCCTGAGATGAGGTTTGCTCGTCTTTGTCATTCATTTCTTGAAAAAATTCTTACTGGATGTGTGTTCTGCTATGTACCAGGTCCTTAGCACTAAGGATATACTAATGAAAACAAATGTAAATATCAGACCAGAGACTTGAACCATCCCTGACACAGACCCTCCATCCTCACCACACAGCCTCATGCAGCTCTGAGACCGATGGCCGGAGGGGCAGACTACCGTAAAGAGACAGATACACAGAACACAACTATTCAGAACAAAGGTGGGATGAGGCACATGGAAATGCTATAAACCGCTGGCCCCATGGCCAGTACAGTTCCTCTGCCAGGAAATTACAAGGCTGTCCTTTGGCCTTCTTCTGGACTTGGAGGCTGAGCAGCCCTTGGGAGCATCTGGAACATCTGGGAGCCATCTTCTCCCACCGAGGGAAAAGGGCCAGGGCTTGAGTGGGCTGGGGGTGGGGCCGGGCAGGCCTCTTCCTTCTCCCGGATCCCTAACATCACTTCCAGACCCAGGGCGGCATGGTACCTCCCCAGCCTCTCTGCTGGACCCTTCTGGTCCTGCCTGCCTCCTCTGGCTTCTCAGAGTGGACCGTGTCCACCCGGGGCACACCCTCTGCCAGGTCCCATGGGGATGTCAGCTTCCCTGGAGCAAGGCCAGGCTGGGGGGCAGGGGCACAAGCCGAGCTCCCGTGAGAGCTCACTCTTTGGGGACGCTGGGACCGGGCTGAGAGGTGGAAAGATGAGCATGGGCTGTAATGGGGTGGAGGCCACCCGCAGGGTGTTCCAGACTGGGAGCAGCTGCAATAGTTGGGGGCAATGGAAGAGACAGGTGGGTTGGGATGACAGAGTGGGCGATTCGCACCCCAGACTGAGAGGGGTCAAAGCCTGCCTTCCCCCCACAACTGCTCCTGGGGTTAAGACATGAGGGTGGGAGATGTTATGGGCCTAACTAGGGGCCTGCTAATTCCTATGTTGAAGTTCTACCCTCCAGTACCTTGGAATGTGCCTGTATCTGGAGACAGAGCTTTTAAAGAGGGGATTTAGTTAAGACAGGGTTTTACGGTTGGTACCTAATCCAATGTGCCTGGTGCCCCTTTTAGAAGAGGAGGTTAGGACACAGAAACACACAGAGGGAAGGCCATGTGAAGACACAGGGAGGGGATGCCCGTCTGCAAATCAAGCAGAGAGGCCTCAGGAGAAACCAACCCTGTCGACCCCTGGGTCTTGGACTTCCAGCCTCCAGAAATGTGGGGAAATAAATTTCTTTCTTTTAAGCCCTCAGCCTGTGCTATTTGCTACAGCAACCCCAGCAAACTAATATAGGTGCAAATCTATTTTAATATGGCAATGCCTTAAGCATGGTCACTTTCAGCTCCCCTGGAGAACCCCATGTCCAGATGTTCTGCCAGAAAATAGGCAAATATACCTTTAGGATTATACTCCTGGATTATTCTTTCCCATGGATTAGGGTAAGGATTGGAGCAGCTGGAGGAGTTGATATTCTTCATGGAGACCAGACAGGGCATCAGTTCTCAGTGGAGAGTTGTATCTACCTTTAGGAATGTAGGTGAAAACAAGACACAAGATCACCAGCACAGAGACCAACCAGAAAGGTACCACTGTCTTCCTCTTGGAGGGGATAGAGGTGTTTTCTTCCTACCTGGAATCAATAGAAAGCCTATAAAAAGAGGAACTTATGAAGATTTAGCAAGTGCCTGAGACAGCACAATGTACAAATCTCCAGGAAGTGGTGGGGTGCTAAAACTTCATAATCTGGTTGGCAAGGTGTGCGTCCACAAAACAACTACAACAGCCACTCCTTTTCTATTCAGACGTCAATGACAGACCATGTTCTAAGCATGCTACATAAGTCATCTTCATTAATCCTCACAAAGCCCTATGAGACAGGCATTATTTGTGCCCCTGTTTCACATATGAGAAAACCAAGGCACAAAGAGATCACATGATTTGGCAAAGATCACAAAGCTTGTAAGAAGGAAGAGTGATAACATTAGATGGAGAAGAGACTTGAAGAAAGGAAAGGTGAAGGCACAGGGTAGCAGACACATGGTCTGCCCTCCAAAGTTTAGTCCCCCAGGTTGGGGTGACTTCAGAACACTTATTGGAACCCTTCAGTGAAGAACTACATAACTCACCATCAGGGTCCAAGGAGTATTCAATCTGAAGATGAGCCTTAAGGGACTATTGTTGAGATAACTCAAAACGTCAAAGTGGAGAGTCATAAATAATGGCATGTGGATCTTACGTATTTTGGGACAATTTCTAAAATGCATGCCTCTATTAATCACTCTGGATATATGACCAATGCCTCTTCTTTGAGCAGAAGTCCACTGACTGGAACTCCAGTTTATCTATATATATTTTTTTTATTAAGCCACACCCATGATGCCTCATCTTTGGTTTCCTGTTCTGGTTCTTTAATATGCAGAGCAGTGAGGGTGTGGGCTGGTTCACACTCGCTGTGTACAGGGTGGGCAGGACAGCCCTTCCTGTACTTCCCTGGGTCAGCAGAAGGTAAGTGGAAGTGCTGGGAGTCACTCCTGGGCAGAAGCTGGCAAGCCAGCGCAAAGTTCCCCCACAAGTTCTTTTCCTTCTGCCTTGGTTTCTGGCAAAGGTCCAGATATCGGCTACACCATCAGTCTGAGGCCTGAAGCAGAGCCCCTGCTTACCAGGAGGAGTCTGCAGCAGGACCAAGAAGAAAACGCTGTGTGGGTTGAACTGCTGAGGTTTAGGGAGTGATTTGTTATTGCAGTCTAGCCTACTACCTCCTCCCAGCTGGTATACTCATCAAGTACTACGAGTCCAATCTTGGTCTGGGTGTTTTGATGTATTTCTCCAAATTTCTCCAGTATTTCTGTATGGTCTCCTTAGACCTCATTTCACTCTTCTTTATAGCTGTTTGTTTTTACTGTGGGATACCCAGAGGACCCAGCCCTTATTTATGATGTTGCTTCTGTAGTAAACGTGTGCAAGGCCTCTAAGGAGAAGCCCACAAGGCCGCACACTGTGTGGTCACCTGGGACATCCTGGGGGCAGGAATCATGCCCACCCTCCTCCTGCATTTCCCTCCTGCTGAGACAGACAACTCTCTGGCAACCCTGGGCATTTTTCCACATTCCTACTGGGTACTCCACAAATTTCAGGCCCTGACTTCTCTTCACCTGGGCCACTTCTCAGAGTCATGCTTGCCACAAGCAATATTGAGAGAAGAGGTAACATCTCCCACCAGGCAAAGGGCAGTCTTTCTCCCACTTTCTATAAAAGTGGAAAATCCCCCGAGGCCAGTGTTCCTCTCCTGTTACTCTAGCCACTGATTACCCCACCCATCCTGGGCCCCCCGCAATGCCTGTGTGGGACTTGAGCAGCAGCAGAGAACCAGAGCCAACCATCAGAGTGCTCTGGGGACTGCTTTTGCCTGAGTAATGAAGTCCTTTGTCTCAGACCTACGAATCTGGGCTCTTTGGCTGGCATCTGTGTAACAGTAGCAGGCTAACTTGTGATCTTATAAACAGGGTAACGGGGTTTCCCAGGTGGCTCCGTGGTAAAGAAACTGCTTGCCAATGCAAGCGATCCAGGTTCGATCTCTGGGTTGGGAAGATCCCCTGGAGGAGGAAATGGCAACTCCTGGTTGAATACTCCAGTATTCTTGCCTGGAAATCCCCTGGACGGAGGAGCCCGGTGGGCTATAGTCTATGGGGTTGCGAAAGAGTCCGACATGACTATGTGGCTAAACAACAACTACAAACAGGGTAATGTATCAGTCTCTGCACTGCTCTTGACACCCCACCCCAGTTCTGCTCAGGACTGGACAGTCTGTGGACTGATGGGCAGTCAGCAAGTGTCCTTTTCACCCACTGACCTGGGGACCGGGGGGTCTCCGGACAGTTCATTCTATACCAGTTCCCTAGGGGCTATATTACTGATGCTTCCCGGAGCCTCAGTTTTCCCCTCTGCAAGAGGCCAGGACCCAGTTCACACTCAGGGCTGTCGGATTCGGGTTTGGAGGCAGATGACTGGCCTTCTCTGGCAACTGCCAGCTGATTTCTGTCTTCCTTTGAGGTGATGCCAGCACCCTTGGACTCCAACCAGAGAACTTAGGAGAGAGGAAGGAAGAACTCACTGTGAATGAGAAAGGGGGAACGCAGCCAACGGAGACGCACTTGGCCGTGGAGTCGTTCCTTCTGGAGGTCTGCGCAAGCAGGAGAGGGGCTCAGTGTGGTCATGAGGCTGGGCTGTTGTGTGTCTCTCCTGGGGTTCTGTTCGGAGAAAGAGACGTGATGTCCACCTTCAGGGAGCTGACAGGAAGGAGTTGCCGTAGTTTCTGGCCACGGATTTGAGGTGGTTTTGTCAGGGAGGCTGTGGCAGCCGGGGGAGGGTAGTACGTGTGCTCAGTTGCTCAGCTGAGTTCGACTATTTGCGACCCCATGGCCTGCAGCCCACCACGTTCCTTTGTCCACGGGATTTTCCAGGCAAGAATGCTTGAGTGGGTTGTCATTTCCTCCTCCAGAGCATCTTCCCTACCCAGGGATCACACCTGTGTCTCCTGCGGGAGGGTAGAAGGTAGCCAGAAACAAGGAGATGGATGTGTGAGGTCGCTCCCCAGGAAGTGCTGGAATTTGCTCCCAAATCAACTCTTGGCAAAACTAGGTTGTGTTCATGCTCTTCCCATTTAATAAATCCAGAGAAACCAAGTTAGTGTGAAATTGGAAAAAAAAAACCCAAAGGGACAAGTACTTGACTAGCATCTTTGCTGCGTCTCCAACAACTGTCACCAGGGGACACCTGCGTATCTCTTTCCTCCGCTTCAGGGAGGAGGCGGCTTAGGGAAGATTGCAGGTGGGGCTGGAAGGGGAGAAGAGAGGCAGTTGGGGGACAGGGGCTAAAGCAGCTTTTTTGGGAGCGGCTACTGCAGGAGAAAGCAGGCATGAAGGAGGGGATGCGATGCGGGTTACTTCTCAGCAGGGGGTGTGGTGTCTGACTAGTCCTGGGGGTCTCGGTGTGCCCTCGTCTGCTGCAGCCAGCCCAGGGCTTTCTCCTCACAGAGGATTCTGGCAAAGGTTGTCCCTTCTAGTCGTGGGTCCCAGGGTTGGGGGCGGCGGTCCGGTGGGTCTCAGGAACACAGCCTCTCTGCCCTCCACCTAGGAAGGGCCTGTCGCCAGGAGAAGGATAACCCTCCTGTGTCCGAGTCCTCATTTCACTTGCAGCTGGGCGCTAATCCAATTGCTAGCTCTAACCTAATTCTCCATTGATGCCCGAGTCCTTTGCCTGCCGATATTAAAACTCTTTTCATTTAATTGTGTAGAAGATAGATCCTCCTCAGCCATCAGGTGGTAAATATAGAAGAGCTGATGTGTAGCTCTAATTTCTTCCTTGGCAGGCCTCCTGTGGCTCTGAATAATTGGGGACTAAGATGCTCTGGAAGGAGGGCCAGGAAGGAGGGAAAAGGAGGTGGGTGGGGCGCTGGGACATTACCGTGGCCCAAAGGTTACAGCTCAGAGGGAGCTGGGCCTGGTCAGTGTGTTCCTGGCCTGGTTGGTGAGTCCATTTCATAGGGACAGTCACTTCCCTCCTGAATCTTTCACATGACTGATGTCCTGAGATGTTGCAGGAGAATCAAATGTTTCTGAATCAAGGCTGATCAAGGAGAGAGGGCTGTCCTACCGGCAAGAGTAGGAGGGGTCATGAGACCCCTAGAGTCAGAGGCAGGGAGCAGTGGTCATGATAAGCCCCTTTGATCTCATCACAGAGAAGACTGAGTCTAGGCACACAGTCACCTGCAGAGTCAGGGCTTTTAATGGACCAAGACGCTCTAAGACAACTGATTGCAGCCCCCTTGTCTGGTGACCACAAGCAGGGCAATGAAGAGGTGGTAACAGAGGGCACGCCTCTTGGTTTCCAGTTCAGCCTAAAACAAGGTGGCCATCCTATTTCCCAGTGGAGGGAGGGACAGAGCATCAGAGTGAGACCCTGGTGGCCGTTCATTAAGAGGCTCATCCACCCAGCAGAGGCCTCCTGAAGTTACTACTGCCACATGCTGCCTATCCCCACCCTCTCAAAACACACTTATGCGGGGAAAGGTGATACAGACATAAAGGCCACACGGCCCAGGCAGCGGGTCATGGGCAGAGCCTGTTGCTGACCTCACACCTGGCCTCAAGGAAGCAGAAAGCATCCTCACAAGACCCACTATGTTCTTGGTCACCAGAATGGACTTCTCTGGCGGCCCACCCCAACTGTGGCTTCTCAGGAGCTCACAGCTTCTGGGGCTCCCTTGGGCTCTGGAGGACCTGGCATACACTCCAACTCTCTTCTCAGGGATACCTCTAGGCCACCTGCTCAGCTCCCAGCTCCTCAGAGCTCCTTGAGCCTGACCACTGGAGGACATGAGCTTCCTGGACTGGCCGTGTTTCCTATAGGAGAGGCTTTGCTACACCTTAGCTTCCTAAAACCCCGCTCCCCCTCCCCCTTGCGATGGGCTGGGAGGCACCTCAGATGGTCCTTTCCTCACCTCTTTTACTTCCCGCCTCAAGACAAGGCACATATCCAGCATTTCCTGAGGGCTGTTCTCTCCCAGACACTGGAGGATTCCTGGGGCTCCAGCCCCTCCTGGTCCGGCCACCCCAGGCCTCTCTGACTCCACCTGTCCACTTCCAAGACCATCTTCTCCCTTCCCACCTCCAGCCTGGGCTCAGTCTTTACCTCTCCTTCACCTGCCAAGCTAGGAGATCCTGGGGCAAGGGGAGGGCACCCCTGGGGCTTGGAGTAGCTGAATCCTCTGAGCAGGAGATCCTGGAGAAGGTGACCAGAACAGGTTGCAAGACCCTGGCCCAGATATTACCACTGTTCTTTCCTTCAGAATCTGAGGTCAAGCCTGTGACTTGGGGTCACTCTCCCCCAGAGTATTTTCGGAGGAAACACTGCTAGGACAGGTGACTGCTGGGAACATGGGCCCAGATGGTCCAGTCACAGGATACCTGAGTGCCAGGGCCCTAACAGTCAGCACTGCTGAGCAGCAACCTCTGTTCAAATGAGGAAATTGAGGATCAAATACAGCACACAGGAGGGTGTGTTTGCCCAGGCTCATGCTGCATCTCCACTCAGAGACCCTGGCTTCCTACTCCAGTCTACACTCCAGGCATTTCTGCCCATACAGTCAGAATGATGGGGATTCTTCCGAGCATGGGGGTCAGGATGACAGCGTGCCAATCCATCCTCATCCTTTGCTGGCTGTGTGACCTCCAGAAAGTTACCTGATCTCTCTGGGCATCAGTTTCTTCATCAGTCAATTGGGGGTGCCAATGGTATCTTCCTCATATGAGGCTTGAGAATGCACTGAGCTCATTCTCCCAAAGCCCCAGCACAGCATTTGGCACAGAGTGAGTGATAATTAGCCATCACGCAACATTCAGCTCCTCTGGATCACAAGTATCCCTAAAACCAATGTGAACCAGAATGAGCATTAGCTATTCAAGAAACAAGCAGGCCAAAAAAAAAAAAAAAAGAAGAAACAAGCAGGCATTTAATTTACTCCCTCAGCAAATCAAAAGGTTCTGTGTCAGGACACCCTTTGGATGGTTTTCCAGAAAAAGAAGGTGACACAGATGTCGTTCTTCCCTCTGTAGAGGTTTCCCCGCCCAGAACAGGGGCAACAGAGACATTCCACTCACCTTGAAGCTGCTCACGGGAAGCAGAGAGAGCCGTCTGAGTCAGGATGCTGCCAGTTCTCTTCTAGAAGGTCCAGAAGCCCAGGACTGCCCTGACCTGCAGCCCACCCTCAGCTGAGCAGTGTATCTAGTGCTGTGAGAAGCCCCACTCCCCATCCAAGGACCTTCGGGAGCAATGATTACACCCTCCACGGTTCAGTCCCTGCCAAGGCATTAAGTAAAAATGCTACTACTCGCTAGGATCAGAAGAACTAGGGTGAGGAGAGTGGGGCATTCCTAAGATGTAAAATTTAAGAGGCACCCTCAAACTCAGGGGGGGCTTCCCAGGTGACTCTAGTGGTAAAGAACCCACCTGCCAATGCAAGAGGCATCAGAGATGTGGATTCGATCCCTGGGTCAGGAAGATCCCCTGGAGGAAGGCATGGCAACCTACTCCAGAATCTTTTTCTGGAGAATCCCATGGACAGAGGAACCTGGCATGGAGTCACAAAGAGTTGTACACATGTGAAGCAACTTAGCACACATGCATTCCCCAAACTCAGTAGCCAAGATAAATAATATTTCAAGACATTAAAATTAATTTAAAAATCCATGATGAACAAAACATCACCCATGCTTTTAAATGAAGATGGACTCTGTCCCTGCCAAACCGGAGAGTAAGTGCCTTCCTTGCCTCACTCTGGTCCCAGCCCTGAAGCTCAGGTCCCTTCTCAGACAGTAGAGTCAGACTCCCTGTGAAGGGTGTTCCAGACAGAGGTACCATCTGCAGGAAGCTCTGCAGGTAGTTCTGCTGTGCAGAGAGCTGAGTTCCCCTGCTCTGAAAGAAGTAACAAATGCAGGCATGTCTGAGGTTTGCAGAGGAGAAAGAGGGGATGCAATGTGATCCCCTAATTGCAGTTGTTTGAGTTTTGTGTAGATAGACAGATAGCGCTCCACACACAAGAGCACTGAAATTCTGCTTTTCCAACTTTATTCCTTTGGGGCTTTCTCTGTGGGTTTTCTTTCAGAACTCAGAAACTCCTGGAATAATTAAGCAATGCAATAATTTAACTTGTTGAGTCTTTGCGGATCCTCTGCTCCTCAGTTCCCACTTCAGATAATTGGGGTCTTTTTTCTCTACTTATTTAAATCCTGTGCAGATTTCCAACCCAGTTTATTAAGATTCTGTCTGTGGAATCTCTCCCTCTAGTCATTCCATACATACACAGTTAAGGACCTAAAATGTGCCAGTCTGGATTATGGATAAGAACTGAATTTTAAAAATTGTGCTTGGGAACTCCTCCAGCTCAACTCCAGAAAAATAAATGACCCAATCACAAAATGGGCCAAAGAACTAAACAGACATTTCTCCAAGGAAGACATACAGATGGCAAAAAAAAACACATGAAAAGATGCTCAACATCACTCATTATCAGAGAAATGCAAATCAAAACCACAATGAGGTACCATTACACGCCAGTCAGGATGGCTGCTATCCAAAAGTCTACAAGCAATAAATGCTGGAGAGGGTGTGGAGAAAACCCTC